AGGTCAGCCCTTATCACATGTAATCTAGACCTGAAAGCAGATCATCAGTGACAGTCATACTCTGTAAGTGAGAACACAAATCATCCTCTGCATGCTTTGGACAAGTTATGGGATTTTCTCCCTTCTCCCCTTTTACCTCTTTCTGTACAGGGGGGCGGGGGTGGGGGGGAGGAAGGGGAACGTTGGCAGAGCTCTGAAAGCCAGAGGAATACGTGCTCAGAATACTATACCGCTCATTCAAATAAGTGGGGGGATGGGGATTGTTTATTTGTAACAAAGTGATAGTCTTTTCACTGAGTGGCTGAAATGAGCTTCTCTTCTTTGAGTTGCTGATGTCTAATGATGTGGAATGCTGCAAGTTGGGAATGGAGTGGGAAGAAAAGAAACTTGGGGAAACATGTCAAATTCACTTCTATTGTGTTTTTTTTTAAAACTCTCTAAATCCCTCCAGAAATTGTTGAACGCTTCACAACTTTTGTTATTTGAATTTTAAAAAATAAAATAAAATAAAAATGTTAAGATTGCTCAGGAGTTAAACACAACATCTGGCAAAACAAATTGTGCTCAGAGTTATTCACCCTCTTTTTTTTTTTCTTTTTTCAAATTATGATGAAAATTCTGTCTGCTGCTAACACCTGTGTAGTTAGCTGGCTAGATACCTACACCACACCTATCACCAGGGCCTCTGAGCTCCACTATTCACTGCTAATACACTGTAAATAGTTGACGTCTGTTTACACTGTTCTGGTAGAATTTTAACAGAGCAGTTAGGGGGGCCCATTGCTTAGACTGTAAGCTATTTTGGAGCTTGGACCATCTTCTTGTTCTGTGTTTGGACAGAGCTTAGCACAATGGGATCCTGGTCCATGACTGGAGTTTCTAGGGGGTACCTCAATATAAATAATGAAATAAAATTATTTTCAAAAATTCACTGCCAGTCTTTATCTAAAAGAAACAAAACAACAAGAACCCAAGTTTAATGTAGGGATTGGTATCTGTCTAGTTATGTGGATGTTGCTTGGTTACTCTAGTTTAGTTACTTGGTTGTTTTTTTAAGCTGGGAAGGGGAAAAACTGTTTTCCTGTCTCTTTCAATGAAATGTTGCAACTGTGACACATTTGGTTGGTGGTTTCACTTAGAAAGGAATTTTACTTTATGGGTAAAGGGCTTTTTAAAAATAAGAAAATGTATAAATAATAGCATAATTAGCAGTAAAGAAATAAAATCTAGAGTTAGACCATTGATGACATTAACAACTATGGAAACAATGATGTCATTCTCCAAGCTGTGGAAATAATTGAGATTTTTTCCACATTTGTGATATCTTGAAAAGTTTCTTTCCATTCTTGGATATATAATGACCCCACCCACACAGCATTTTGCAGTGCTTTTGCTTGCTTGTATGTTGTACAATGGGTAAGTGTGTAATGCCAGTTAAATCTGGTACTGAATGGAAGATCCATAAACCCTAGAGTCTGTCTATAAATCCTGTAATTATTGTAATTTATTACTGTATTCATTTTGATTTGCAATCTACTACCATACAGAGCATCCTAGACACTCATTAAAAATATATAATTAAATAAACAGCCTCCTGAACTACTGCTAATAACCAATATTCTGAAAGAGCACAAATCCAGCAGAGACCTCCTCCCATCTGTGTTCCACAGCTCAACTATCATAACTTCCCTTTGTACTGTACCATATTGTTCATATTTCACAGATCGGAGCCACTTACCTAGATCCTTATGGCCCCAGGGTAAGTCGGTAGCAGAGTCTGGAATATAACTCACATGATGGATACTCTAGCAATACCTAATTTAGATAGAGAGATCTACTGGCTCCCCACCCTGTGTTTTAGCCACAAAAGGAATTCATCCTTCCCTGATGATAAACTAAGAACCGCTATGATTTTTAATTATACCGAAAGGGGATTGCCAAGACTGGATTAGTACTTAATGGTGTTTGGAGACATCAGAATTTTGGGGGGTCTCCCAGGCAGGCTTTTCATCATAGCCCTCCACCTCTCTGAACTTTTCTATTTTCCTTATTTCTCCATCTTTGATCTTGTTGCTCAGTCAGGCAGTCCAGCTACCTCGAGCCCATCCCAACAGGTTTCCAATAGTGCTCAACTGGCCACTGCAACCCCATCTGTGGCTCAGCCTGGCTGCTTCATCTAAGATTGCTTCAACCACAGGTCGGGAGTCCAAGAATCCTCTCCTAGTGCAGCCCTGGGAGTTGATATCTATACCTGGATGCCAACATGACTTAAACGTTGATCTTAGGGACACATGCTCCCTTTAGTCTGCATGTGGAACTCCTTTTGATGTTAGTGCGGTTGGGGGCAAAATGTGTCCCCCTTGGATTTCTAAAGTATTCAAATTAGCTTGTCCCCGTTTGATAGCTGTCTTTCAAATTCACAGCTATACTTCTAAGACTGACACGGCTACAATTGAAGCATTGATTGCTAATGGCAGTATAGTATCATAGCTCCCATCCTCCATTTCCCCCCTCCCCTCTTGATGTCCTCTTCACTCACAAAAACTTATACCATGGTGACTGTGCTATTAACCAACCTCCCCTCCCCCCAAAAATACCCATGTCCAACACCCTTCTGCAGCTCCTCAACTCTTCTAGCCCAAGAGGTTGATACAGAACAGCTCAAGTCACTCCCTTTAGGGGTAGTGTACCAATTGAAATCTTGAACTTGGATCTCCCGTTTCATCCAGCCACTCACTGTTTTGACTGGGCTGTTCTGTAGACTTTTGGTGAAGGATATGGTATAGTCATGAGTGAGTTTGTTTGTTTGGGTTTTTTGGTAAAAGAAACAAACTTAAAAGTCAATAGTTGATGAACCATTATTCCAAGCTTCACTCGTGCTTGATATGTGAGCTCTGGAGAGAAACTTTAAAGATGCCTTTGAAGTAAAACACACATATTAAAAATAAAGTAGGAGATAGGATCATGTTTTTCCCATGAAAAATGGTATAAAATGTACAGCGAATCTCAGAACAGACGGTGAGGAGGCTGAGAACATACATGTTTCTTTATTTCTGTACTGGGGGGAGGGATAGCTCAGTGGTTTGAGCATTTGGCTTGCTAAACCCAGGGTTGTGAGTTCAGTCCTTGATGGGGCCACTTAGGGATCTAGGGCAAAAATCAGTACTTGGTCCTGCTAGTGAAGGCAGGTCTATCTATCTATCTATCTATATTTTTTTATGAAGGAAAATGATGGGAATGGCCGGAATGTTCTGTTAGTGTATTTGGTATAATGTAGTTAGTCACTAAAGAATTAAAATAAAAAAATATATAAGGAAAGAAAAAGTAAATACAATGCAGTAGAATCTCACTAATTCACGCTGAAGTCTGAGAGGCAGACAGTATTATTACTTGATTTTTTTAATTGGCCAGCAAGGGTCTTTTCTGCCAGCAGTGGGCCAGATTAGTCTTACTCACACTGAGTAGCATTTATTGCATTGTTGTTGTTGATTCTTTATTTGTATAGTGGTAGTACCTAGGGGTCCCAGTCATGGATCTAGGTTTCATTTTGCCAGGTGATGTACAAAGATATAACCAAAAGATGGTCCCTTACTTGAAGAGCTTCAATGGGATGACTTGTGGAGTAAGGTACTATTCAAGTATGGGTGACAGGATCTAGCCCTTCGAGATCAATTGGAAACCTTCTCCCATTGATTTCAGTGGGGCAGTATCAGGTCTTAAGTGAGCAAAGACTATAAAAAAGCAAGACTAATGCATCACAAAATGTACTTTGCTCATTTATTTAGACAATTATAATGTATTTTAATTATTAATGATAATACATCAATATGTACTAATAACTGTACAATACTGTAGTATATTTGTAATTAGATATGACCAATATGAGCCCTCACTACAGTACTCAGCTATTAAATCTTTGCTCAGAGATGGTGAGACCATCAATTAATTTTGTTGTGTGTGGATTAGTGAGGTCCTGTTACATTCCCTTTTCAGGACTTAGTGTTTTTATTGAATTTTATTTAGAAGTGAAGATCGCAAACTTTTAATATTTGATACCATAATATTGTTTGTACATCTGCTTCCTGTTTCCATTTACCAAAGCAGGCAGCAGATCGTTAGCGGGTGTAATCTGTCAGTTGGAGATTTATCAATTTATATTAGTGAAGGATCTGTCCCCAGGACGTCAATTGTGTATAAACAAACAAACTGAAATAAATATTTATCTGTATAAAAATGAAGAAAGCAGTAATTTAGAACTCTGACACATAGAGTAGCCTCTAGCAGAATACAAAAAGTGTGTATTGCAACTGTGACCAATGGCACACAGTTGAGAGATTTAATGAAATCTGTATGCATTTCTAATTCATTAATATACTTACAGTAGTTTCATGTGATTTATATAAATTTAAAGGAGTCCAGTTACATGAGGAATCCACTGACCTTTAAAAAATCTGTTTATTGCAATTTTCCAATAAATCACTGTTCATACAGGGGGGGTAATAAAATTTCATTTTGAATGACACAGTGTGCAGACACAGACATTCTATATTTCTTATCTTTCTTAGCTGTCTTCTGTTATTGCTTCAGAGCAATCCTTATTTCTCCCTTAATATTGGAAGTGCATAGGAAAACGCCGGTGTGACTTTAAAAACAAAAGCCAAAGGCCCTGCTCAGTTTATAAAACAAACAATTTGTAAGTAGTTGACAAGAGGGGTTTGCTTACATCTCGTTGAAAAATGCAATACAAAGTTCATATGAATTTTCAGGGCTTTGTTTTTTGTATGTGTAAAGTAAAGAGGGAGTTAAAGACTCCGGCTGCAGCTTCCAAGTTTACACAAATCCCTGTGTGGGCAGTCAATCCATGCTCCTGTCTCAGGAATCCACTCCAGCTTGGGATCCTTGCTGCCCTTTTGTTGTCCTCCCCACGAGGTGATCAATTGAGGTCTATGTGGTGACAGAACCAGTTTGTAACAGGCTTGTCTTTCACATTCTCCTCTCAGGCTTGCTGGCAGACTCGTCTGAGGATCTGACAGAGGCGAAGCACAGGACTATAATTGAAATAAGAAAAGAAAAAGAAACAGAAGAACACAGGCAAATCAGAATCACTACTCTCCTGCAGCAATGGGTTGGCTGGAAGAATCAAACTGGCAGCTTCACATTTCCTTGATCATGCTACTTTCCATGCACACCAAGGGTAAGAAGAAAAAGTGTTCTACAATGTAATTATGACAGGGTGGTGAGCTGAAAGATAACTGTTCAATTTTATTATGAAAGGAAAAATTTAGCATGGGGAATCGCAGCTTAAGAATTTCCAAACCACGGTGCAGTCTGTGAAAGTACAGTATTTTAACTGCCTGTATGGCATATGTAAGTAGTATGTCTGAATTGGAATCAGAATTTCAAAGGGTAGTTACAGAGAGATACAGTAATTACAGAGAGGTACAATAGAAGTTTTTTATTGAGACTGCAATTGTCTAAATTACTTTCTAATCTGATTTAGACCTGAATATGCAATTGATGCTCTCAATAGACACAGTTTGTAGAATCAACCAACATGTTTAGGGATGCAGTACATAGCCGCTCCAAGTGATGTTTTCTGTTAGATATATAAATTTCTCAATATATGAGAAATTTGTTGCTCAGGTAGAAAGAAAGATTTTTTTTGTAACAAATGCATTAAATTGAAACAGGTAAAGATTACTAATTATAGAGTTATATAGTTTTATCTTTGAACATTTCATAATGTTAAGAGGCTGTTCCTTAACTTAACTCATTTTAAGGATTTATCAATAAACAAGGATTAGGAAACATATTTTGCTTGTTCAATAATATGGACTGATAGATTTCATACTTCACTTTTAAAAGGCAAAAATGAAGAATATGGCTAATTATAATAGTGCAGTATTTACTAGTCAGAAAGCGCAATAAGCAGAGGTTGTAATAAGGAAGAATTGTGAATGACTGACAGCAGAGACACAATAGCATTATACATTGTCGAGAGTGTGATAAGGAAGCTACATGAAATTCACGTGTTTACAATACCACTGTATGAAAGCAAGTGCAATAATTGAGAAAATATTTTTAATAGCAGATAAATGTGCTTAAAGTAATTTGTTTTATACACATACTGTCGTTCCTTATAAATGTTATGCCATCTTTCAAAGACTTTTTTTGAAGTAGTATACTTTCAGAAAAGATGGCAAAAGGTCCTTTTCCTTTGGTTGGTTGTTTTCACCGTGTGGCAGTTAGCTAGCAAGCGGACTATCGCATCTAAAAAGAAAAATAAATATTCACAACAAGGAAGGTTTTTCTCTCTCCCCATATATTAGTCATTTCTGTTTATTAAACATTTAAACTTTCTGTGACTCACCTACAATCCTTCAGTACTGGACATGTGGTTTGTTTTTGGGGATTTTTTGTTTGGTGGGGGGTTTTGGGGTTTTTTTTTCCGGTGCTTTAGGGAATCTTACTCTGGCTCCCTAATAGGACATGATACAGTGAAATCTAATGGCCAGAAGAAACAGCAGTAGTACCTTTGTATAGTCAATTTGCTCTCAAAGATTTAATGTATGGCAAGAAGGTAGTAGTCAGTAGGAGAAAATTAACTTCATGAGTCTGCTCTGTGCCCTTATTCTTTATCTCTGATGAACTCTTGGGAAAAGAAAGGGTTCTTGGGTTACCTGAAAAGTATAGGAGTTTTGTTAAAAAAAAAAAAAAAAAAGCATTTAAATTTGCTGAAGCAACCTGTAATAGGTTTTGGATACATGGACCATATTTCAGGGCCAGATCTTTGGCCTTTTTATAAAAGACACACAGAATCTTAATGGTTTGATGGACCCTCAAGGAAGACACATATTCTGAGATACAGGCATCTGTAGGGGCATGGACTGATTGATAGAGGAAACTTGCAGTGGATTGGTAAAAGATATGCACACCATTTTTCAGCCATAAGAGTCCCAGTTTGCTTGTCTTATTAGGGCATTTCAAATGGATACAAATGAATCAAAAAGAAAATAAAAATCTAGAATTATTCATCTTATTGACAGCATAATTACAATGGACTTAAATTTCAGCAAGGGTGGTTTAACTTGGACATTAGGAAAAACTTCCTAACTGTCAGGGTGGTTAAGCACTGAAATAAATTGCCTAGGGAGGTTGTGGAATCTCCATCATTAGAGATTTTTAAGGCAGGTTATACAAACACCTGTCGTGGATGGTTTAGATAATATTTAATCCTGTCATGAGTGCAGGGGACTGGACTAGTAGACCTCTCGAGGTTCTTTGCAGTCCTATGATTCGATGTTATTGGCAGAAGACCACCTCATACCATATCACAAACACAACTATTTAAGAATCCATGTGTTACATTTGGAACATTGTCTCCACATCTTGCCAGATAAGGGTCAAATCCTGTCTTGACTGGTGATGCCTACATAATGTTTGTAGTGACTAGTAACCAGCAGCATGCTTAGCTTGGGGCATCTTGCTGTCTCAGGCCAGGTTGTTTTTGGAGGACTGTTTGGCTGTTACCTTTCCTCTGAGCAAGAGCAGCATGCCCTCAGGTATCTTTATCAGTCAGTGCTCATGCTCATTACAGCAAGTTCACTCACCTACTCAACTTCTAACCACAAGCCTATTTAATGGTCCAACAAGCCATGCCTCAGTTAGACCTTGGTGCATACTGTACTTCATATAGCATAGGTGCTGCCACGTTCTTGCATATTGTGATGGCCTGGGGCCTGTTGTTCTTGTGTGTTGCAATGCCTTCCTCCCCTCTTTATTGCTTGTACACTTGTGCAACCAAGGTTTAGACTGTATTGCAGCGTCTTTTTATTATTTAAATATTGTACTGTCTCTGCCCAAAATATTCGTACCTGGGTGCCTGTAAGTTAGGCTCCTTAATAGAAATGTAATCACCTAGACAAGTGATCTTATTTCCAACTGTGTTGAGCACCCACAAATTCCACATAGTCAATGAGAGCTGTTTTTCCTCTTTGAAAATCAGCTGATTTCTCTTTAGGTGTCTAAATATGGATTTAAGAGTTTAACTTCAGGCTCCCAGGAGTGAAAATTTGCCCTCTGCCTTTAAATATGGAAGCAGAGACTACTGCAGCAATGAAAAGGATCTGTTCTGTGGGTTGGGATCTGTCCCCAGATCTTTAACAAATTGAAAAGATGACACGCTAGTTGACAACTGAAGTTGTGAAAAATACAACCTCAGGGTAGTTTATGGGGAAATATACTTTAAAGAAGTGTATAGAAGTAGGGCATGTACAATCAAGATTATACTTTTATTTTGTATTGCAGTAGCTCTGGTCTTGCATCAGGGACCTGTTGTGCTAGGCACTGTACAACCACAGAACAATCTAAAAGTAGCTCTACATTTCAGTCGGAAGGGTGATTGCAGCTCTCATAGGCATCACTAGCTTTAATTTACCTGGTGGGCTAACAATATTAGTGAAGACCTGGCTGCATGGACCCTGGCATGGGCTGGGAACATGAGTATGTACCCAGGGTTCTGATTGGACTTGCAGAGCCTGTGCTGCCATGTCTTCACTGCTATTTTTAGCTGGGCTAGCTAAATTAACACTAGCATGAGAGTTTGCTTATGTGAGCTGCAGCACACCTCCATTTGCAGCATACACATAGCCTAAGTAAAAAACAATTCTGCATCTAGATGGTGCAGAGTTCTTCCCTGCAAGGTATTTCCCGAGGTTTGGTCCAATCTAATTCAAAACATGTCAAGAGATGGTGCTTCCACACTACTTCCCTTGGACGATTATTCTGTACGCTAATAGGTGTCAATATTAGGAAGCTAGTCTGATTTGGGGCCAAATTTTGCCCACTTTTGCTAATTTCAGAAGCAGTTGTGCCATGAGTCTAATAGCAGACTTTGTCCCATTGGGCTTGCTTGCTTGCTTATTTATTTATTTGCTGTAGAGGGACAAAAGGCCATCTTGAATTGGAGAGCAAAGCGGCTCATCAACTCCAATTGCCAAACTTATTTTCTGGAATTTGTACTGTGTGCTACTTACAATTTAAAATGTTGAGAAAAATCTTTCATAGAAATATTTGAGAGAACGTTTAAACCTCAGGAGTCTGCTTTGGCAAGAATTTTTCACTTTTCAGAAAGAGGCTTAGGAAATGCATTTGGTGGTTGAAAATTCAAGAATGTAAAACGAGCGCACAGCTGGTCTAACTGGACACCAAGAAGAGAAAATGCTGACTGAGCTGTATAAAGGGAAGTAAAGGGTTGTGCTGTAAAGGGGAAAATGATGACAAGTCCTTGAAACAGCTTAGTCTTTTAGGAAAAGTGCGGGCCACCCAATAACTAACAAAGCCCCGCTCATTATTATAGAAAGAAAAAAGCTGTGGTAAGAAATAACTGCAGTGCAAGCTGAGTTATAAAGATATGTTATGGGCTAAAGAGGCGCTTTGTCACAAACCCCACGTACGGGAGGCAATGCATAGTTGAAGTGACCCAGGAACATTCCAAAAAGCTGATTGTGACTGAGAAGTTGCAGGCCGTCTTGTGGTTTTCTCTCTGGTCCAGAGGATGACGTACCTTGCATCACTCTGGTACCTGGCACGGTGTACGACCCCCCCAGCACACTATGGGAGTGGAGCCCAGGCTCTAACCACTCCCATGCCCGCTTAGGTGGAGTGTGGGGAGAATTGTGGCTCAGCAAAGGCTGTTTTCGTCCATGCTGATACCTGTGATGATGGTAGTCAGCACAGGGGCATAAGGGAGTGCCTTACTTCTCTTCATGGGCATGCAGGACATACACCACTCTGGTCCTGAATCATTATCTGGAAGCCATGGAGAAATTGGCAGGGGGTTGCTTTTAAAAATGAATTAAAATGAATGTAGTGTTTGTGAAAAGTGTAGGATTAAAGTCCAGGAGACAAGTATGTTGTAGGCACTAGCAGTCCAAGCTTTACCCCTGCATTACTCCCTGCTGGTAGGCTTATCCCTGTGGTCTGAAGAGGACCACCTTTAGGACTGAAAGTTCTGTACTGCATGTGTTTTAAAGCTACAGAGATTTTGAGTAAGGAACCAGTTGTTAATTACAATAGCAATCTGGTGAATATATAAACCTGATGCAACAAAATTCCTTGGTATAATTACTTGTCATGCAGTTCACTGCCCGAGGGGTTTAGCAGGGAGTACCATACTTCAGTCTGATCCAAAAA